GTTTTTGAGTCTGAACCCACTGCTCACTCGGCTTTTTTCATGAAAAACTCTTTTAAAAGAAACAGCAGAGGCATGCGTAAATATAATATTACAGTCTCGCACGCACATAACAAACACGCACATATAAAAAAACAAGGCACATAGCAAACACATTTCCAGGTCCCGCAGTTTTTCTAATATCATTCTTTGTATGAATAATATAATAATAATTGTAAAACATAATAATGGGTTTGCTGTTGAACTGGGGATATAGGCCTACGTTGTAGGCCCCTACATGTCTCTTATTATTAAGTCGAGAGTAGAGATTTTTTTCTGGTTAGAAACCGTCACTCTTGGCCACCTGTTACGAATGTCACCTTTGCCTGCCAGCCAGCCCCAAGAGCCTATAACACCAAACACTAAAGACATTAATGAAGGCGAAAAAAGTTAAAGTAAAGTTGTTCCCGAATCCGATCCGGGGCATTGGGGATTGCCTTGTTAATACAATGTTAGTGATACAACTTCCTGGGCCTTCGGCATATTGTGGTAGGGTGGCCAGTTAATTTCCAGGCCGCCATTATTCATTACTGCCGGGTGGACAGAAGGAGGCGTAAAAATCAGTGTCCGAACCGAGGCTCGAACCCGAACTTGCCACTTCTCGTAGAATTATGCAAATTTAGATGGCCAAATTATGCAAAAAAGCAAAATTAAGCACAAATTATGCAAGTTACGTAGCACCATTCGTGACATGTTTTGAACTTTTTCGACTAGAATTTTCATGATTTTCATGTTTTAAGTACAGAAAAATTGAAAACAGAACATATCAGTATCAGTAATTCGTTGTGTATTTGGAAAGAAAACAATACACATCAGTCAGAAAAAAAACAACCAAAAAATATTATAATCTCTGTAACTTTCTGCTGTAGATCTAGATCTATAGAGGAAAGAAAAGTTTGCTTTTTTTTAAAAGGACATCTGGCCTGTCTGATGCTGGCACATTACTAAAAACAGTAACACCTGTCAAACATGAATCATCAGCAGACAGGAGAACAACAACTTTTGATGGACTGAAAAATTGAACATGCTAAAGGAACAAAATCTCAACCCATAACCAAGATCTTCTAACAAGGGAAATAACCCACGTGTCACTTAAATGAGACTATTACGGTGATTAGTTCCGTTTAGTCACACGGCGAGGCGTTAATTAATTGTTTGGTTGAAAAAAAAGGGAAAAAACGTGAAAAAACAGCGGGGAATCCAAAATTATGCAAATGTTGCAGAATTACGCGAAAAAACGCTGCCGCGCCGCCGTCGCACAATTGCATAATCCAGCGGGAACAGTTCGGAGACGAGCGCACTAACCGCTCTGCCACCGCACCCTCAATGGCGATGAAGACCACGCAAAATGTGTATTTATTGAGTCAAGGTAACCCTGAGAAATCATAATATCCTAATCGAAAGAGATGCGGAGCTGGCCTACCATAAAAAAAAACTGCA